CTGACACGTCTGAAGACATGTGTCATTTATCTGCCATGTGGGCGCAGACATCGATTAATCGGTCGGCCGATTAATGGTATATGATTTTTGTCATTACGCACTTCTTCATAGGCTGAAACCATTTTCCAGCTTCTTATGATCACGAAATCCTTTGGTTAAACATAAATAAGTATTGCTATCCAGCTAAAACAAAGCTGATGTTCTTAGCTAATGAAAAGTTGAGGGACAACATTTTTAATAAAACATCAGACTTTGACATGGGAGGTCACTGTTTGTTTCCTGTTTCCAACTGAGAGTCAACATGGATGTCTTTTTACTATCATGGCTGAGATTGTTTCCTAACTTTATCCACTGTATTGTACCGATTTTTAACAATTTAAGATGTATGTATTTTGTCATTATATATATAAATGATATAAAATTAGGACCTATTTTCAATCACGGCTTCATCTTCCACATATGAATAGAATACGGTTTATATAGTTTAGTGAAACACCGTGTATGAGCAGTTCTCTTGTCTCCTGTTTTTTTTATTATGCTTGCTTTCTATGGTCCTATTTTATAATTCTACCTTAAGAAGGACAGATTGAAGAGTCGTGGGTTAAATGTATGTCCAAAAGCAGTTCAGTATTGGCACAATACACATTCAGCCGCTTGAATACAAGAATACTAAAATAACCCTGCCTGATACTAGTTAAACTGTTGCTTCTGCAGACAGATACCGTAGGAGCATAAATTGAGTTTAGCAGCGCTGCCCTCCCCTGCATCCTTGTGTTGGGGGTGTGATTCATTCTCAGTGTGTCCCCACAGCTGAAACCTCTGATCCTATCATTTACTTAGGCCGGCAGCATCCCTCCCTCCCCTCCCGCTGCACTCTACCTAGGTAAACACCTTTGTACAACACTCAAGCTCAAGGGTGTCCTTTGGTTGCACATTTATAAGCTTCAAATGAGTAAACCCGCAGGAAACGCACTGGCAAATATCAGAGCAATCTGCAGTCTCAGGTCAACAGTTGTGTCCTGTGGCAGCGGAGAGGAATGAAAAGAGAAGAGGAAGATAAAGAGACAGAGGAAGGAGGAAAGAGAAAATACAGATGGGCGAAAAAAGAGAGGGGTTAAAGAAAAAAAATCAAGGCAAGAGAGCAGATGTGATGATTGTGTGAGTCTCCGTGTCAGACACTGGTGTTTCCCCAGAGGCTTGTAGAGATGAAGTGTTCTGAGTCGCGGCATCTGTTCACTACTGCTGCTGAGAAACCACTGGAGATACACAAACACACATTATACACACAATTACAGCTTAGATACAGTATACTAATATACAACAAGACAGTCAATGATTAAATGATGAAGCCTGATAATGTAAGTACAGTATCTCCGCTTCCACACCGGTAAAATTTCATGGGACCTGGAGTTTGCTAAGGTGTCAAGAGGTAGAGCGGGTCGTCCACTAATCGAAAGGTTGTTGGTTTGATCCCCGGCTCCTCCAGCTGCATGTCGAACTATCCTTGAGCAAGATACTGAACCCCAAATTGCTCCCAATGCTGTGTCATCAGTGAACGACTAAAGTGTGTATGAATGAGTTAGTGTCTGTTTGATGGGCTTTGCCATCACTGAGTGAATGTTTATGAAAGGGCGAACTTTCTCCTTTCCTGTTCTTTGATATGCTGTGTGCTAGGCTTGTCTGTGTTAAAAAAGCAACCACATTTTTAAGATACATAAACGATAAAAGTGGCATCATATTTTAGCAAAAGTTTAAGGAACAGATTAAACAGTGTTTATCTGCTATAGTGTAAGCTGCAAATGTTAGCATTACTCACAAGGCCAAACAGCACATCTTTAGCTAACTAAATTCCAAAAAATTGATAGCAGTTTCTCCTTGCAGAAGCAAGTGTGTTCTTCTAGATAATCCATAGACCTGCGTCCCCGGATATTTCATAAAGACTGTTTTTTCATTAGGGAGTAGTTCCAGTGAAAAGTGTTTTAAAGGTGGCCTTATTAGGCCTTGTTCCAGCTGGACCTCATTAAGCAAAACCTTACCTAAAGACATCTCTTGGCAAAGACATGTGTTGAACTAACTCACTGCAAAAGCTGCATTGCTGGTCATAGTGCATAAAAAAAACTTCTGGCAAGAGTACACAATCTATAACTTTTACATGGCAGAGAACGCTGTTTCCTTTCCCCATCAGTATATATATTTAATGTAATATATCCATAATGTGGATGAGGAAAGTTTAAATGAAGAGCATTGCAGCTCAGGCCTTGAACTGTCAACAAACCTTCCCCAAATAGCTGAAGCTCACAAAATGCTAATTTATCTTGGGAAACCTTCTGCAGTACACACAAACTGTAGCAGCTCTAGCTCCTAGTATAACCCCCAGCGCACGGAACGCTACTCATCACACACACATATATTTCCAAGGCTAAGTGACCTGCATGCTCTCAGCTTTGAATGACATAAGTACCTGAGTAGCCTTGGGTTCTGCACCCAACCTGAACACACTTATATGGCAGCTGATGGCAACGCAGGCCGCTTCCATGGTCATCCATCAGACCCCACAGGTAATGTCTACGAACACACTTGGTTTACATCAGCCAGGATAAAGGCCTCTATTAAGGAAATGAATAATACCAACTGAGGGGAGCTGACCTCGGACCAGTCACGTGCCATCAAGGCTGAGACACGATTGGCTGCTTTTGGTTCGTATCCGTGCTACCGAGGGGGCGGTCCGGGGGTTGACGGATGCTTGAGGCCGAGGCGAGATGGGCTACAGAGTCAGCCGTTTCAGTCCTGTGATCTAATCTGTTACCCATCATGCATCCCGCTTCACTAATGAAAAGGCAAGGTCCCATCCGTCACAGGCTGCTATGGTAAATGGAATTTTAACCCCCCCTCCCCTTATACTGAACGAAGATCCTCAGGCACAAGCGCCTGCAAACATGTGCAAAGGGGCCCGGATGATGGACGATCATTGCAAAAGACCCCAGAGCAAAGGCAAATTAATATCAAGAGGAGAAAATCAGTGAAGGCTTTCGCTTCATATAGATGCTCCTCTGCTTTCCGTCACTTTGCTCAGCAACGAACGCAGTCGAGCTTGGCTCAGCCTCTAGTTCTGAGTATCAAGACTTTCAAGGATGACCCACATTGTCTTCATTATGGCTCTCCTTCAATAAGGCAAGGTGTGCATGGAACGTCACGCCCCATAGTTAAATTTGGTTTTAGATGAAGAGGGCTCAATAGGGTCATTTTTGGCATCACACAAATGTAACAGCTACAGAATGAATGCAGATTTTTGATGGAAGGTACCTTGCTGATTGAAAGGTACTCAAAAGTTTGAAAAGACCTACCTTGGTCAGATAAATATTGTAAAGGCACTGAGCTAAACTAGGTGAGCAGTCCAATATACTGTAATACTAACACTGTGTTCCATTTCCAAGCTATGATAATTCATTTTCATACCTACCTTCATACTATAAGTTGTCCATGTCTTACCACAGCAGCCAGTTCAGTTCCATCCCTTTGCTGGATGTCCTCAGCCTATACTAAAGATTGGGTACTTAAGTTTTTGGTGCATAAATGCAGGAGCTGCTTCAATGGCCGAAAGAGATGGTATCTTTAACTTTTAATCAAATGTGGGCATGGCTTGACCTGACAGTTGGATCAGGATGAAGATGATAAAGGACACATGAATCAATCAGACCTTAACAGATGTGAATAATTTAAGTTTTTCCTGACTCAGATCCACACACCTATGATATTGCTCTGCTAGCTACTATAACTCACAAGCTAACAGTCTATTGCGGTTTTATATGATGGGCCAAGGTTAGCTAGTTGCCCCCTTAGATCACATGAGACCAGGCTGGTATAAACATATGTATAAGTTCAAGATAGTCAACAACAATAAATAATGTTTGGCAGGAAATATACCAACATTTAACTGGACAACATAGGATTAGAACACTGGGTATTTAAGGCCCTATTGTACTTTAATGAGGCACACTACTGCTAATCTCTTCCAGACCCCTGAATCGCTTTCCTGCTCTCAAATAATGAGTAATGAAGTGAAAATGAAATGGCAATTCAGTCTCATTATCATGCTAGCATATCACCAAACACAATCCCATTTAATCACTTTAATTAATTGATTATTTGGAAATGTAATCAAGAAAAGTTGTTTCCTGTGGGGTCCTGGTAGGTCTGTGGGCCGGGCCTTGTTAAAAAGTTGAGCCTTTTGTTGTGCATGTAGGCTTATACATATAGTACACATCATAACTGAGCATTAATGAAACCTATGGACATTCAGTCTTCCATTACAGTTTTTAACCAGTGTTGAAAATGTGATTATCATACATTATTTGAACTAGTAGTTCACTCTAATGATCACTACTCTCTTACCCTGTCAGAAGTATTGATGAAGCTGCATGTTTTTATACTTATTTACTTATATCTCTTTTAATACTAAAACACTGAATGAGCCCAAGTAAGATCCATTACTTAACTGCTGCACCACTGAATTACAATGAAAGCGTTCGTTTGAAAGAAAAGTGGCTTTAGTCTTCCACAGAAGCTGAATGTCACCTTGTCAAGTTCAGACGCGGCGCTACCCGCCCACAGCTGAACCAAAGCCCTCAGTTATTCCTCCATACTGCAACAGCAGCCTCGCTGTTTGATACCCCGAGGTTCTTCACTCTCTGTTCCCACCAGCAGTCTGTTTCTGAGCTTAAATCCAGCATTTGAAGCTCCACAGAGCTCCCAGCAGGGACACACCGACTCTCTCCTCTCTCAGCCTTAATGGCAATGAAAAGACAAAACATCTCGCACATTGTTACACAGACTGTTGTGACATTATGATATCCAGTGGCAGGAGAATTTCAATGGAGCTGGGTGAATGTTTTAGAAACTAGGCGGCTACAGAAGATTAGAAGCAAAATGAGGTTAACGTCTGTAGAGTCTTCTTTTCATGAACCAACCCCCCTCTCTTGTCTGTGTGTCTGTCTCCTCAGGGTTTTTTCCGCCGAAGTATCCAGAAGAACATGGTGTACACGTGTCACCGGGACAAGAACTGCATTATCAACAAGGTGACGAGGAACCGCTGTCAGTACTGCCGCCTGCAGAAGTGCTTTGGAGTGGGAATGTCCAAAGAGTGTGAGTTTTAGACCCAGTGTATACAGTGTGCTCATGTGGAATTCAGTTCAGTGTTATCATGGAGGGTTTTATTGTCCACTGTACCGGGTACCAAATGGGTTATTGATGTCATTGTATCGGCACCAATAGAGTTTCTGTACCAATAACACCGACAAACCAATACCCTTTACAGTACCTTACTTTGGGTTATGGTTAAGGTTTGGTTTGTTGGTTAGCTAATGTTACAAACATTATGTAAAAAGATTAAGAAAAAAGGGTTAGGGTTATTGGTAAATTAGCTAGCTAGTAAGCTAGCATTTTGCTAACATTATCTAGCTAACTTAAGATATGACTAAATATATGTCGCTTTTGTCTTTTAACTATCTTCAACATGTGGGTGTCAACACACTCTTTTCAACATAGACTAGCCTAGCACATAGCATATCTAAGTACAGGAAAAGAGAAAATTGGCTGCGGCTTACTCAACTGTTACCGGAGCACAGAGCAAAAAGGGTGGGGCTTAGGAAAGGTCATGTTTCAGAAATTCAGATCTTTGCGTATATAGGACAAAAGGGCATTTGCATACGAAGTCAATGGAAATATTAGATGTAAAGGTTGCTGGGCGCTCGGGTAGCTCACCTGTTAGAGTGCCTGGTAGAGCTGGTCCTTGCTTCCGCGGCCTAGGATTCGAATCCGATCTGATATTTGTAATAATGAGACATGTTTGTCTAATCTTCCTTATCTATAAACACCTGTGTTTATACCACACATTGTGAGTTATTGGCAAACATGCCCTGTAAGAGAGAGAGAGAGAGAGACAGACAGACAGACAGGTGCACAGTAAATGGCACAAATTGATGTGAAAACTTGTCTGCACAAATTTAAAATGTCTCAACTTGAATAATTCACTTTCTAGAGAAAAAATATTTATTTATAACTTTTATCATACATTTTCTTTGTCAGGACATGACAAGACAGAAACTAAAGAACGAAAGAAATTAATTGTTTGGTAACCAGCCCTGTACCTTCAGGCAACTTCAATGTAAAATATCAGTACAGGTTTTTAAATACCGTCTTTGTAGAGCTCTACTTTCTGAAAACGTCTTAATCTGGAAATTAAAGCTCACGAGTCAGAGGCTGTTGGTGTGAGATATTGTTCAGTACAGAATGTATCGAGCACAGTTCAGTGATGCAGCTCCCTTTGCTATAAAACCATGTAAAATGCAGGAACACTGTAGGGAAAAAATTCACCTGATCTATTGATCTTCTCTTCTAAGAGTCTTATACTCCTAACACACTCAGATCATTTAGAAAGAGCAGTTCAATTAAATCTAAACCTTGTGAATTTTTTATCCATGCTACACACAACCACCAACTTTATTTAAAATCGGGTCAGTAGTTTCTCTGTATTCCTGCTGACAGACAAACAAAAATATAACCTCCTTGGTGGTAGTACACATGGAAGATTACAGTCTCCTCATCGCTCCACACAGGTCTGATGATGTTTAAGCCATATGCTTCATGTACAATTGTATAATTCACAGTCTGTTCCCATTATATTTTATCGATACAACTTCCCACCTCAGCCAAGCATAAAAACTTTTTTGTGATATTTTGAATTTTGCTGCTGTGAAAAAGGTCTATTCAGTCTAAAGTGAGATGCTTTTTTTCACAGAACACGTTTTGACCACTGGCTGTTTATATATAATGGACAGAGCTTCCAGGTCTATGAATGTCAATGCGGAAGTGTCTTTACCGTGCATTTTATGTAATGGCCAGAAGGGGGCAGTTCCATTGGCTGCATAAAAAGTCAGGTAGTATAAAGTATTACATAGAAATGAGCCGAGTGCTCAGTTGATTTATGAGCCCAGTAAACAGTTTCCTAATGAGTTTATCGTCTCAGTCTCTAGTTTCAGTCTTCTTCCATACAGCATGATGTTCATTTAGCGCCTGTCCACACGTATACGTGGCCTCACCCAATACGATGTTGTTTAGAAAAAAATCTCCGTAAACTCGGCGTCGTTTCCAGAATAATCTGTGTCCACTCAGATTTACTGAAAATGACCAAAAAGCTGTAGTACATATGACGGGCCTGTGTGCTGCGTGTATTGGCCACACCAATACACTAAAACCGGAAGAGGAGCCATGGAGCATGCGTATTAAGGTCACGCGCTGTTTATAAACAAGTAGTGGTAGTCCGCCATTGTTGTTGTTGTTATGATGCGTCTAGCGGCAGCGGCTGAGGTTAAAGGCTAGAGAGGCAGGGCTAATACGTCATCGTTTCAGGAAAAAATTGTTTTCGCCGTCCAGACGACTCCCGGCAATCTGGCATTTTCGGATTTTCCCACTCTGGGACCCGTTTTTCAAAAAATACAGTTTTCACTGTATTCTGGACACGAGGCCGATGCGAAAAAGTATTTATCCGGATTTGAAAAAAACGTATTCGTGTGGACGGCCCCTTAGTAAATGATGGTCCCATTTAGAGTAAAATAGACCATAAAGCAGGGTATGCTTTAGGACGGGGCTACCTTGTGATTGACAGGTCACTCTCAGTGAGTCCGTCCAGCTCAACGTACCAAACTCAGATCTCCATGCTGCAGCGGCCACAGGTTCTAGTCCGACCTGTGGCCCTTTGCTGCATATCATCCCCTTCTTTCTCCCCCTTTCCTGTCACTATATAGCCTTCTGATCCAATAAAGGGCAAATGTGTATATATATACTGTATATATATATATTAAAAAAGAATGGAGCCAATGTTAATGTTACTAGTAACGCCTGTGCTTTTCTTAGCAATATGTGTACTCCTGCCAGAACTTTTTTCCCCCAGATTTCACATCCCCACACATTCAAACATTGTTATAATTCATGCTGCATGAAGACAGCATTCAGCATTGTTTACAGTACACACTGAAAGAAAGGTGCTTCCAGTAACAGAGAGGACTTTGATATTAAATGCAAATGACTATGAAGAGCTACGAGTGCTTTAAAGCAGTGGGGGAAAAAATACTGTAGAGCACTTACAGAGATGTAAATTTTTATTATAAACAAACATTTTTAAACATTTTCACTTGTTATTTTAACATTAAAGATAAATAACAACACATTCCAGGATATTATATATAATAATAAGACCTGTTTGTCTAATCTCTCTCTCTGAAACACACTGTAACAACACCTGTGTTTATACCACACATTGTGAGTTATTGGCAAACATGCCCTGCAATCTCCTCCTCCTATAAATATACAGTAGTCTTAATATTATCTAGTAGAATATAGAGGCAAGGGAAGGTGTGAAAAGTGAACTATTTATATGAGTGGACAGCATTGTTTCTGTCAGATAAGATCTCATGAAGTCAACAGCTGCACTGGATTATCATTGGAATGGCTTCATTGTTATCAGTATGATGTGGGAATCAATCATCTGACTTAGAGCTGCAGTGGAGTGTTCATTACAGTAGTGCACAGTGTGATCTGACTCTCGTTCATTATTCAATATGTTCCTCACACTGGCCAGTATTTCAGCCTGCGAGGGGGGAGTAGCATCATCACAAAAAAAGGATGCAGAGTCTGCATCCACAATAGAATATGCTGCTGTTGTGTGATACCACAGTTTTCAGACACTGTATTTAGGAAACCCAGTGACTTGCCTCCATGGTCCCCCTGCTCCATTGTCATCCAAAAAACAGTTTGCATTTCACAGGTTATTGGCATCTTTTGATTGCATCAGCATTTATAGCTCAGGTCCACTTTATGCTCCATTAGCCTTGTGGGTGTGTGTGTGTGTGTGTGGGGGGGGGGGGTATTCCTTTCTCTTCCTCTTTCTCTTATGCCGTTTCACACCTCAGCAGAGGAGTCATGGAAAAGATGATGTCTTGATATCCTCAGGCTAAACCCCCCCACAGGGCCACTGATGAGAAAGGGAGCTATTCCCTTTTTTCTATATTCATGCATGAAGGTTGGGTGGTGACCTCAGCCTCCCGCTCTGAACGTCGACTCCAAAAGGTTTATGCCGACTAGATCTGTCACTTTTTCCAAAAATCATGTTTGAACAAATTTCACATGAAACACAATTTATTCAAATGAATTCTATACTATAGGATAAGACATTTGTTCTAACCACACCAATGGGCCACATACCCTTGCATATAAAACTTGCTCTCTTATCGATGATGGCATTTTTATGAGTTTCTGGCAAGGGACTTAAGTTCCACTTATCTGTGGTGCCTCTGCTCCGCTGCGTCACTTGGGTGGCAAGCTAACAGCTTGTTCACACCGCCCGCGTATGCGTGGCATGTGTGTGGTAGAACGTCTTGATTGTTATTTTGCCACCCATGTTAACATATTAGAGCAGTTTCATTCCAGGGGAGACTTAGTCGTCACACGCCACGCGTTGCTGTGTGAACAGGGGGTAACAATAGCAAGTGAGTCGCAGATTTGTTGTCACTGTAAAGTTAGCTTCTGAGATGATTTGGTGTCGCGATTGTCTGCTCAGGATGGCTTTGCTCCATGCTTTGCTTGCTAGTGCCCTCAGTTTTAGCAGTAAACAGGTCAATGACAGGTCAATAGAGCATGACATGGGTCAAGCTATCTGTTGCGCTTATAGACAGTTAATTTGGAATGTGAAACAGGTCAACACTTCAAAAATTAACCGTGTTTGCTTTCAGATTTCAAATAGAAAGTGGCAGCCCTAACGCCGACTAGGGGAGCGTTTAGCTAAAGAGTTGGGGTGGTGGAGACCAAAATATAGCTAAAAGATGGCAAACACGACTCTGATTGAATGCTAACGTCGTTCTGTATCTGCTAGATGTATTAATTAGGCAACTGTTTGCTTACATTCACAAATCAGCCCATATGTCAATATATGATAAACAATGGCAAACCAAATAAAATAAAGCTCTTATGCTGCTTTAATCATTGCAGCTACTACATTAATGCGTTTACAAGACAGATTGGGGCCATTCTGCCTAATTGGTGCCATTTGCATGTTGTTACGTTTTGTGTCAGGGTAACAGGACTGAGTG